CCCAGGTGAGCCAGGGGAGGGAGGGGACCCAGGTGAGCCAGGGGAGGGAAGGGACCCAGGTGAGCCAAGGGAAGGGGGGCACTCAGGGGAGAGGCACACTGACTCAGTCCGCTGCTCCCCTGCCTAGGAGGCGTGGCACTCCCCAGTGAGCTCCAGGGCAGGGATGGAGCAGAGAATGGGACTTACAGGACAGGGAGCCTGGAGGGGGAGGGAGGGAGTCAGGAGGATGTCAGGAGAGCCAGGGCCTCCCAGGCCACCGGTCCCCTCCTCCCCCGATGCCACCATCCCACGTCCCCTCTCACACTCCTGTGCTGCCCAGTCACCATCACCTCCCTCCTCCCAGCTGGTGGAGAAAAGACTGGTGGCCTTGATGGTGGAGGAGGGTGTGCGCTCACCCCCGCGTCACCGCGCAGCCCGGCTGGACTCCGGTCCTGAGTGGAAGCCCGGGGCCCGGCCAGGAGGCAGCAGTGAAGCCTGGCCACCCGAGCCCGAGTGCCGGGACCCCCAGAGGCGCAGCCAGGCCCACGCGCACCCGTCCAGACCCAGAGCCTTTGCCGCATCTCCAGGACGACAGCGGCTGCCTGGCCTCCGGGCTGGCCGGACCCCCTCTCCTCCCCAGGGGCCAGGGTGCCCCTCCCCTCGACCTGACCTCAGGGACGCCCCCGTGTTCAGAGAGGCCCCTCCTGCTAGGGAGCCCGGCGGGCCAGCGGCTGGGTCCAGCGAGGACGAGGAGGAGCTCCCCAGCCTGGCCTTCCTCCTGGCCTCTCAGCACGGCCTGCTGCCCTGGGGGCTGTCCCAGAGTCCCGCTCCCGCCTCGGGCCTGCCCAGCCCTGGGGCGCATGGGCCACAGCGGGCTCCCCAGGCCCCCCCTCCTCAGAGAACAGGCCGCAGCCCAGCCGGCCTCCCAGCTCTCAAGTCGAGGAAGCGGGCTCTGTGTGGGGGCCTGGCCACGGCCACCAAGAAGATGCCCCTCCCAGGGGCCAGTCTCCGGGGCTCCGGGAGGCCGGCCTTGGCCGTGGGGCCGGTTGGGCCCTCTCAGCCTCCAAAGAGAAGGCGTGACCCCTTTGTCCCAGGGAGGAGGAAAAAGAGGCACTGCAGCCAGTAGGGAGCGCTGGGCCGCCCTCAGGGCCAGGGGGTGGGGGGCCAGCGCCCCAGGGGTCCCCTCCTGCTCCCCGTGTTGATCCGGGCCTGGAGGAGGGGGGTGGGCACGGGCATGGAGGCAGCAGCCCCCGGGACGGGACGCTGTGTGGATGGGCGCTGTGTGGATGCGGGAATAAAGACAATTTGCAGGGAAATGCTCTGGGCCGCTGTCTTCCTGCTGGGGTCCGGGCCCTGCATGAGATGCCCTGACGGGAAGGAAGGGGCCTGAGAGGGGCCCCTGGGCCTTCCCCTCACCATCTGCACCCCTGAACATCCAGGGACGGGAGCGCCCTCTGCCCCCAACCATCTTCCAGAGCGGAGCCTGCCGCCAGCCTGTCTTCTTAGGCAGCTGCCCTGTGTCCCCTGCAGCATCAGCCACGGGCCTGGGGGGCATCCCTGTCTCCTCCAGGGCTCCCTGTGTGGGGCCTGGGGGAGGGCAGAAGGCCTGGCCTCAGGGGACAGGCTCTGGGCCTCTGGCCTCGTGGTTCGAGGAACACTTGGAGGCCCAGTGGGATGGCTGAGGTGCGAGAGATGGGGGGTCCTCTTCGGCCCAGTGAGGACGGACTCGGGGAAAGGACTCAGGGGGACCTGGGGTCACCAGCCGAGGTGTGCGCTGTGCTGTCCCGTGCGGCACTCCCGGTCAGCTCCCTGGGTCTCCACAGGGAGGCGGAGGCTTCACCGTTTTCGAGGACGGTGGGCTCCGGAGGCCAGGGGATGCGGGCCGTCCCGGGCGCCAGGGTGGCTCCACGCAGCGTTGGCTCCAGAGTTCTCCTCCCGCTCCCCTGAGAAGAAACCCCTCAAAGCAGCCATGCAGTCGTGGGGAAATCCCTCAGATACAGGTGCTTACCTGTCACCACTGACTACGGTGCTGTGTGTTCCCTGTGGCCGCCCTGGCCTGGCTGCACGTTTGTGCTTCCTTCAGGGCTGTGTGGTGTCCCACTGGTCACTGTGCGCTGGGCGGGTCGGGTGAGAGCAGGCTGGCTTGGGGATTCCTGGCCAGGGTGTCCCCCACGCTCCCCTAACGCTGATACCGGGGAGGCCTGCCTGTGTCTGCGCCTCCATCGGTGATCAGCCATCACCAGACACAGGTGCCCAGGAGGCTCAGGCAGAGAAAGATGGTGTCAGTGGGTGGCTATTAGGACAGACAGTGCTGAAGCCATCCCCAAACGCCCTCAAGTATTTGCTCTAGAGATTCTGGACTGGGAATCAGAGGGCTCCGAAAGTCCCCACTTGTGGACCCCATGACCCGAGGAGCTGGCCCAAGTCCCCACCACTGGCAGGTCTCCTGTGACGTCCTGTACGTAATTCAATGAGTCTGAGGGACCGTCTGTCTGGGACGCCTTGTGTGCCAGCCTGGGCTCTTGGGGCTCATTTTTGCAAAATATCTTGTGATTAAGCTGTGCTGTTTGAGGGTTCATTTTCCCTGCATCACTGCAGTTCCAAAGGTCAGACTCCACCCTCCTTCCACAGTGTGCCCTTTGGAATGTCCTTTGTTGTGGGTCATTCTGAAGATCATGTTTCTGCAGCATGTGTTTGTGAATTCGTATAAAGTGCATGGGCGTTAAAAGATGTTTTCTGATCCCGCACACAAACTACAGAGGCATCCCTAAGGTGTTTCTTGTTTGTAAGGCTCCTAAAATATATAAATAGAACAATTGGTAAAGTGCTCCTGTCCTTACAATCTGTTCATATGAAAACAACCAAATCTAGATTCTTCTGCAAATTGTGCTGAAGCGGAGCCCAAACCCACTTATGAAGAGACAACCCTATGCCACTGGGAGCGTAGGATGTCATTGGAACCGAGAGGGAGATTCAAATCACACACCATCCTTCACTCCCTATTTTTATCTGGGTGTTGTCTATGGCTGGACCCCATGTGCTGTCCCAGGAAGCAATGAATATGCCACCATTGTAGTCTCTCTGTGCTTCCGGTAAATACGTCTTGTAGGCTGGGATTCAACTTTTCAGGGCATTCGCTACTGGTTGCTCTGTATGTGCAACTTATTGACAACCTCTAGATAACACTGACAGAAAAAGAATTTTCTCCAGTGGTATTTGAAGAACAGTCATAAAGTATCTAAGCACACATATTGCATTGTACCCTAATGTGTCCAAAGTTTAACCTTTAGTTATGTAGAGATAAAAATAGGATAAAGTTTTCCCCTCAATTCAACAATAAAACCAGAATATCTGCTCTCATCTCTCTTTTTTCAACTTATTACTGCAGGTTCTAGTTAATGTAGTATAGCAAGAAGTGAAAATAGAGGCTTCGGTTTGAAGAAGAAATATATCTGGCATCATGTGCTGATGCCATAAAACTGGCTATATAAAAAATTCTAAGGACTCTGCAAGAAAACTCATAAAAAAATTATAATAGATTACTTTACCAAATTCTCAGAATACAAGATCAGTATAATATGCAACACTGATCACATAACCATAGACTAGCAACAAACAATTGGAGATCAAAATCTAGAAGATATACAATCGTTCCCTCCAAAATGAGACATTTGGTGTAAGTCTTTTAAAAAATGTTAAGGGCTTGCTAAATGAAACTTACAGAACTGATGAAAACAACAAGCCCACAAAAGTGCAGGAACATACTGGTTTCATGAATTGAAAGAGTCAAGGTAGTAAATTGTCAGTTCTTGTAAGATTGATGGACAGGCTTAAAATGCAATTCCTGTCAGTTCCCCTTAGGGCTTTTCTTTGGTCAAACTAGACAAACTTATTGTTGTTGTTATTTTTAATTTTTTTTAATGTTTTCTATTTATTTCTAGGAGAGAGAGAGAGAGAGACAGCGTGAGCAGGGGAGGGTCAGAGAGAGAGGGAGTCACAGACTGAAACAGGCTCCAGGCTCTGAGCTGGCAGTCAGCACAGAGCCCGACGCAGGGCCCGAACCCACGAACCGCGAGATCATGACCTAAGCGAAAGTCGGACGCTTAACCGACTAAGCCACCCAGGCGCCCCAGAGACAAACTTATTGTAAAACTTGTATCAAAGTTAAAGGAAGAGTGACAATAGCAAAATGACAGACTAGGATGGTCCAAGCTCGTTTCTGCACAAAAAAAGTAAAAAACAAAAACAAAAAACAAAAAACCCAGAAACTTCTAAACCAAGGAGCTCCAGAAAATAGTCAAAGGCTTCCAGTGACCAGCAAATGCCCAATCAAGAAAAAACATCTTCAAAAAGATAAGAAGATTTTGCGGCATTTTTACTCACCCTTGTCCCACCTCCCAGCAGGGCCACAGTGTTAGTCCTGGGCGGGCCGCGGGGCTGGTCCCCGGTTCCCCTCCCCCATCGCAGGGAGCAGAGCAGACCTTATCTGCAGGTAACTGTGTTCCCTCATTCCAATCTGCATGGGGGCCTCCTGGGGCCCGAAGTGAGATGCTCATGTGTGTTGACCATTGAAAGCTCAGGAGATAAGCTAAAGGTAAGATGTTGGGACTTTCCAAAGCTGCCTGTATACAGGGGGATTTAGAAAGCCATGTGCAGGACGGGCAAGAATGCTCAGAAAAGTCCTGAGAAGGCCTCACGCTTCCATCCCAGGCTGACTCCTGGCCCAGAGCAAGCCTAGTGAAGTGAGGAACACGGACTCCAGCTCAGAGCCAGCAGTGCCCGGGGGAGGTAGCTGTTGCCTGTAGTGATTATTTGTTATTTTTATTTATTTATTTCAGCTCTGGGGATTCAGCTTATGTTTTGAAACATAAGGTAAACATGAACTAAAGGAACAAAGACTTCAGTGCTCAAACTCAACAAGTTATCGTTGAGGTTCCCATAATTGGAGGGGTTCCTGGGTAGCTCAGTCGTTAAGCATCTGACCCTTGACTTCAGCTCAGATCAAGATCTCTTGTTTTGTGAGTTCTAGCCCTGCATCATTCTCTGTGCTGAGAGTGAGGAGCCTGCTCAGGATTCTCTCTCTCATGCTCTCTGCCCCTCCCCCACTCTCTCTCTTTCAAAATAAATAAACAAACTTTAAAAAATTGGAAGCATCAAAATGAACACACTACTACAGACTTCAAAAATAAATAAAAACCCAACAAACCATGGGAACAGTAAGATTCTTATTTCCAGAGTTACCAATAATAACCAATTTCCAACAAAAAAAATCACAGGCATACAAACGAGCATAAAAATAGAAAGCTCATCTTGACAAAAGAGCAAAAGCACTTCTATGAGGCAGCATAGTTGTTTTATTTATTTGTTTGTTTAGCAAGTATATGAGTGGGGGAAGGAAACAGAGAATCCCCAGCAGGCTCTGAAGTGTCAGCACGGAGCCCCATGTGGGACTCAAAGTCATGAACTGTGAGATGATGACCTGATCCAAAAACAAACGTCAGATAACCAGTCACCCAGGTGCTCTGAAGATAGTTGTTTGAACAAACTGTGTTGAAACAATTGAATGCCCACAGGCGAAAGAACGGAAGAACGAAAGGAAAGAAAGAAAGAAAGAAAGAAAGAAAGAAAGAAAGAAAGAAAGAAAGGAAAGAAAGATAGAAAGATAGAAAGAAAGAAGGAAAGAGAAAATAGAACTCCCACCTAAACTTCACACCTTATATAAAAATGAACTCAAACGGATGATACATCTGGATATAATGTGACTATATCTGGACATGATGTAAATACATCTTTACATAATGTAAATATATCCCTACATAATGTAAAACATAAAACTATAAATCAACAGAAAACAAGAGAAATTTTTATGATTTAGAGTGAAGCAAAAGTTTCTTAGCCATGACACCAAACACATGATCTTAAAATTAACAATTGATAAATTGTATGTCATCAAGATTACAAACTTTTGTTCTGAAAAAGACCCCATAAATAAGATGAATAAACAGATTGATATTTTGGTACCACCCTCAAAATTCACTTTGCTGGAGATTCTCTGTTTCCTTCCCCCACTCATATACTTGCTAAACAAACAAACAAATAAATAAAACAACTATCCTGCCTCATAGAAGTGCTTTTGCTCTTTTGTCAAGATGAGCTTCAACAGTTTTATATGTACTCATTTATATGTTTGTGTATAATTTTTTAATGCAATTCTTTTTCTTTTTTTAATTTAACTTTTAATTAGTTAACATACAGTGCAATATTG